AGAGCTTCTCTCTCTAAAAGGCAAGGTTATAATATCAAATGATAAGTGTTCTCACTCGGTTCTGGCTTAATCCCTCTGCTGGGACACGTGGCGGTGACTGGTTGCCTTTTCTCTGAAAAGGTGGCTGACAGACCAGACAAAGCATGGTGAAAGGGTGTTCAACAAGTAAAGCGGTATGGGCTCTCTGACGAGGCAATGGCATCGACTAATAACAAGGCGTATCTAACAAGCTACACGGAATGGCACTCCAGCAAGGGGTGACATCGGCTAACAAAAGGGCTTCGGCAACTAAGGTGACAATGACCTCGGCTAGGAAAGACAACACTTGACTAAGCTGTGCCACATCTTGGCCTAGATGTGCCACACCTCGGTCTAGGTCATACCACTCCAGGACGAGATCACTTGGGCGCAAAGGTAACATCTCGGCCAATGCGTCAAAGCAAGGATGGTGGTCAACAAAAGGGGTTCCAAGATACTTCTAGGCTGAGGATGACCTCGGCTCGGAATGGTCTAGGCGTAACGTAACCTAGGCTTGGCATAACGTCGGCTAATCATAACTTAGGCAAGGCGTGGCCTAGGTTTCACATCAAGGAAGGAGCAAGGCAAGCACACAACACTTAGACAAATCACAAAGGTATCAAAACAAGGCATGGATCTCACTCACTTAAGCAGAACAAGTCACAAACATACACATGTAAACTTAACAAGCCATAATCATACAGATGCTCATGAACATGATTAAGACGTAAAATGTGGGTTCTTACAAAGATCATCCTCCATGTGAAAGCATAGGATTGCTTGTCAAGAAATGCGGCTTGTCGGTTGGCAAGCCGCAAAGGTGGACGGATTTGTGACAACCACCAAAAGGAGAAGAAGAAGGCTGGCTCTCCTCACCTACCATCTATGTGTATAAATGGAGAGGTTGAGAGGAGAGAAAACAAGCAGCAACACAGAGAGAACAAAGTATGAGAGTGTATGTGAGAGAGTTCTGTAATCTTTCTCTAGATAATATATCGCTCTCCGTGGACATAGGCAATTGCCGAACCACATAAATATTCTTGTGTTATTGTGTGGAATTGATTTCTGGTGTCCAATAGTCCTAACATGTATCTTGTTTGAAGTTCAATGGGTAATGTCTGATTCAATCAGTGCTTCAGTTTTATGAATTGTGGGTTGTAGTGTTGAAGTTTGATGAACCCTCTTTTGCTCTCATTGATTTCATTTGTGACGTAAACAATAAAACAGTACATTAATAAGAACAAGAAACTGAACTTTCACAAAAAAATGGTGGCTTCATAATCAATCTTTGATTGGGATTGAAAAGACTATCGCATTTCATTCAAATTCAAGACTATATCACAAACAAGATACCCATGGGGTGCAAGTGTTGTGTGTAAGTTGACAAAAATATAGATATACATACATATACAATTAAATACACAAGCATACATAAACAATCATCAATATGAATGCGAAAGAGGTTGAATAGAACCTTGAAGAATTTTCCGGAGTGATGAGAGTGGAATTTGTTCCATGCATCTGAGTCTTGAGAAGGAGATGAGACAGAGACAGAGACAGACCTAGACCCAGAACCAAACCCAGACCCAAAAAGAGAATGAGAGGGAGAAGGAAGATGGGTATGATCATCATCATGGAGATCGAGGGGTAGAAGAAAGTCGTAGAGAAGAGAAGGGTCGGATTCGATTTCTCGTCTGAGTTGATCCCACTTGAAATCCTTGGAGTGGCACTCTCCTACAGCTTCCTTGCTTATTGTTCTCTGTTGTTTTGTTTTGTTTTGTTTTCTTGGGCTCCAAACATAAATAAAGATTGAGATCTCAACAACACCGACATGTACTAATACAGATTGAACGTGGGCCGCACGATTCTCCTATAAGCCTCCTAACGGAATTATCAAAGTCTAATAACTAATATAACTTTGATTCTTAACAAGACGACACAAAACCTACTATAATGACTTGGGTTTATAACTAAAACTAATTTTGATCATTTATGTCACAAAAATCTTGCACACCACAAAGTTTAAATAAGGAGTATATCTTTTGGGTTATGAGAACAAGAGAGTTAAAACTTGAGGGCCTTTGAGGGCCTTTGAAATAAAAAATGGTAGACTCAATTTACTTACAAAAACATCACATTTACTTTGTTTAATTTAGACTTAAGCCAGCCCTAGTCATTGACAGTAAAAACCAACTCAAACAAATACTCATCATTTTTGTTTTGGGGAGATTGTATCATTGTTGAGAGAGAGAGAGAGAAAAAAAAATTGGGGTGGGGGGGGGGGGGCAGATGCACCAATAAATCTCAAATTTCAATCTTTTGATCCATTTAGTCCTAACTTAAATCTTATGAACCAATAAGTTCCACCCCAATGTTAAAAGACCAAATGACCCATGTTTTATCACGTAAAGTATCAAATCACATTTAACATCCATACATGTAAAACATCAATCCATATGTAATATTAACGTCACCAAAAAATGCACAAAATAATAATCCACCGATAGTTACCACTCAAAAAACAACACAACAACCACCACCCCCCCTAACACACCCAGCCCCACATACCACTGCACAAAAAAACGAAAAACCAACAAAACACCCAACACACCCAGCCACACACACCACTTCCCCCCCAAACGAAACAACGTTCAACACACCAACAATCAAATTACTCCACTACACAAAAACTCACCCAACACACCCAGCCACACACACCACTACACAAAAACACACCCAACACACCCAGCCACACACACCATTACACAAAAAAACGAAACAACGTTCAACACACCAACAATCAAATTACTCACCTGCTACACTGATGGCCGTAACACAGCAAAACACCACCGGAAATGAATACAAACCCGGAATACGGCCGCCTCTAGAAAAATGTCCAGCCCCCCAGACAAAAAACACAACGCACACTCCCCCCAAAACAATGACAACTATGTTAAACAATTCAAAATGGAATCCCCACGATAATATTTCCTTATCCCCATCCAAAACTGAATCAGTAAATTAGAAATACAAAATCAAGGGTACACATGTAAAATAAAAAAATAAAAAAATAAACCCATTTAATAAAACATATAAAAAAATAGGACTAATTGGTGTACAAGAAAACTCTTAGGACCAAATTGTTTAACTTTTCTCCATTTAGGATTTATGGGTAATTTTTCCTAAAAAAAAAATTACAAAACAAAAATACACTACAACAAAACTGACTTTTTACGGCACCACATTAACGGCATACAATAAATGCACGCTGTAGTTTTTCACTTTTACGACTTGCTTTTTTTGCACGTCGTAAATGCTTTTCCAACCACGGCGTGTCTATTGCGTAGGCCGTGAATGATAATAATGATATTTTTTTTATGGCTCGCAATGCACGCCGTAAATAATAAAACTTTATATGACGTGCATATGGCGTGCTGTTAATAAATCAATTATACATGACGCACATACGCTAGTCATGAAAAGTGAATACTTTTCACGACGCACACAACGCTCGCCGTTAAAAAGTATTACCTTTTTACGACGCACACAACGTCTACCGTTAAAAGTATTGCAATTTTTACGACAGACAATGTATGTCGTAAATTATAGAATCAAAAACAAAGAAGCGCCAAAATGAAATTTCTGGCGCCAATTCAACAAAAAAAAACAAAAAAACAAAAAAAAAAACAAAAACAAAAAAATTTAGGAAAAGAAAATATACAACTGTTTGGGATAGTTTCTAAGGGTCTGTTTGGTAACGTTTACGTTTTCAATTTATATTTACAAAAATTTTATAAACTAGTTTTTGTTTATTTTTTGTTTATTTTTAGAAAAACATAAACTACAAACGCATTTGGTAATTGAAAAAATGTTTAAAAAATTTTAAAAATATAAAAAATCGTGAGAAATGGCAAGTGGTGGCAAGTGGTAGCGAAAGACGGTGGTAGAAAGTGGTGACGGTGGGTGGTGGGTAACTGGTGGTGATGGGTGGGTGGGTGACAATGGCGGATGGTAGCGAGTGGGTGGTAGTGGTGATGGTGGTGGTAGGTGGTGGTGGCAGGTGGGTGGCGGATGGCGGGTGGTGGCGGTGGGTGAGTGGGTGACGGTGGCGGATGGTAGCGAATGGGTGGTGGTGGTGGTGGTGATGGCGGGTGGGTGGTGGTGGCGGGTAGGTGGCGAGTGGTGGTGGTGGGTGGATGGGTGACGGTGGCACCTTAGTGTTTATCAGTGTTTGTGTGTGTCAGTGTTTAGCTAGGAGTCTAGGACCCAAAATTTATTTTTTTATTTTTTTATTTTTTTGAAAAGCTAAGATGTGGGATGTCAGTGTTTGGTTTGGGGCTGTGTGTTAGTGTTTAGCTAAGACTTAAAAATAAAAAAATAAAAATTTTAAAAAAGAAAGTTGAAATGTTAAGGGGGCACGTGACTCCCTAGGCCTTTAGTGCCTCCACCCCTGGTTGATGATATAGAGAGAAATAGAGAGAGAGATAGGGGGGAATGATAAAAAGAGGCACAGAAAGACATGTTGAAAAGAAAACTTGGAGAGACGGTGGCGGTGAGAGTAGTTGTGATAGCATAGTGGTGGTAGTGGAGGGATGGTGATAATAGCTATAGTGGTAACGTGATGGTTGTGGTGGTGGTGGTGGTGGCGGTGGCGAGGGGTGGGTAGTGGTGGCGAGTGGGTAGCAGGTGGGTGGTGGCTGGTGGTGGTTGGTGGTGGCAGGTGGGTGGTGAGTGGTGGTGGCAGGTGGTGGTGGGTGGTGGTGGCGAAAGACGGTGGTGGAAAATGGTGGCGAGTGATGGCTAGTGTTGGGTGGTAAAAAAAAAAAATGAAAACTTAAAATGGAAATATATTTTTTGTATTTTTATTTTTTAGCCAAATTTATAAACTGAGATCACTAATTTATAAATTAAAAATTTTACTAAACAAATTTTTATCTGAACTTTTTACAAAAATTAAAAACTAAAAAGGTAAATATTACCAAACGGGAACTAATCATCAGACACTGGTTCGACGGGCATCCATCCCGGTACAACTCTTCTATTCTCTTCTTTGTCTCTCTCACAGATTTGCCCTAAACACATCTTATTTGGGGCATCTCTCTGTCTCCCTCACTCTCTCTCAGATTTGCCCTAAACACATCTCATTTGGGGCATCTCTCCTCTCTCTCAGATTTGCAAATGAGATTGAGTCGGGCCAAGTCGAGTTGCAGAGTTACTCTGACGAGTCGTCGCTCGGATGGGAGACCGAGTCGAAGAAGAGTTAGACCTCGTTTGGGTCGGCAGCATAGACAAAGCATGGCGAGGTCGAGAGGAAGAAAGGAACTCCATGGAGAGAAGAAGAAAATAGGTACATTTTCTGGGTTGTCTAGCTTCTTTTCTTGGCTACCAAACAGAGTGTTTCCTTGGGGGCCAAACAGAGCATCTAGTTATGTACATTGGTTTCTTGATTGAAATGTTTTCTTTTTTTCCCTCTTTCGATTTTGTGTTTTATTAAGAACTACGGTGATGCGCATAGCCTCCTGAAAAATTTCACTAGTATGATGTAGCAGAAATGCTGAAATAGTGATGGTGCTCTTACTAGTGCTAAAGGCCTGGTGATGAGAAATGCACTTTGGATGAGAATGCAGAAATGCATATGTGCCACTGTCTTCTATGCTTCTGATGTTATGGGTGTCACTACATTATAGCTCATAATAGCTTGTCCTTTTTTACTTCTTTTTTTTTTCCCCTCTCATGTTTAATTTCTTTGTGCAACCAAGTTTCTAAAACTACTCTATGGCGGGCTTTCCAATTGAGGCCGTTCTTCTCTTCTTCAATGCATGTATTCAGAATTTTTGAAAATTAAATCAAAGATATATAAAAATAAAAAATGACAGTTTTTCTCTAATGGTCCTCTCGGCTTGGTAAAGTGCCTTTTTTATGCCAGTGCTTTGAATTTTGGGACTATTGCCTCATAACTGTTTCCTCGAAAGAGCACATCGTATGTACAATTTCAGTTTACTATTTAGATTTTCCATCTATTTCCGAGTACATGTGATAGTTGAGATGGTTCAGAAATTTGGGAATTGGATACCACCTCTTGACTGAAATATTGCCTAACTACTGAGAATCTGAGATTGATCAGATTGAATTGTGAAAACCATGTCTCCTGCAATTTCCCTATTTTCTTATACAGAAGATTCTGGGTTTTGTTATACAATTGCCAAGTAATTGGTTGAAAGAATTTTTCAGCTGGTTTCTAAAACTTGACACTTTGAGGTGTCTCATAATTAGTTTTGATCTCCGTTCTCTTGATTAGGCCAATTTTAAGGTATAATTTAGTAATAATCTTTCTATGTGCAGGAGTTGGGGCTGGAGGGGAGGAATAACAGGCTTCTTCAATATCTATTGCCCATTTACCTTGGCTGGCGTTTGTTGTTGCATTCTTATTTGTAGGTATTCTATTCTATGCACCATCTAATTTTAGTATAGGAAAATCCGTCCAAAATGATGTGGTTGAGGTATTTTTGAAATTATGATTCATGATTGTTAGTGTTCTGGTTTGAAATTAAAGGACCACAAATTGCCACATAATTTTGTATGGAAATTATGTGCAAGAATCTGTTTGTAAAGTATTTACTGATTAGTATATTAGAACATGCTTTTGCTGTCTGAATTATACATAGGTGTATGTATCTATATATGAAATTCTATTGATGTCATTGCATTTATCCTTGCTGCATTGCATTTATCCTTGCTGCATTGCATAGAATATTGCCTTACAGCTATGTGTGTAAAGCAGTGTTACCTATGTCATGACCCTGAACCCGCCCCTATGGGTTAAGGATTACCTACGGGCTCAAACCAAAACAGACATATCTCATCAGAGTAAAGGGGCCAAACGGAAGCAAAAATTTAAAACTTTGTCCATAGAGCCGTGCTTATATACACATCAAAACAAACCATACTCATATACGTTAATAACCCACATCAAAAGTACAGTGCCATAAAATTCGTTACAGACAGGATCATCCGAACTAAGTCAACCCATAACAGACTATATACAAATATACACAAAGCCCTTGCCAACGTGACAAAATACAGTACATAACAAAATGACAAGGTTGGGTCTCATGCGTGAGACACAAGGGCTGACTCTCCAAAACCTTTGTTGTTCCGGATGGACTTCACTGGGGCTGGGTTTGGACCTCCCTTGGCTCACCTACAAACATATGAATGAGCGTGAGCGATAACCCAGTGAATAATATCAAATACAGAAGTTGTATAAACAATATGTAGAACAACATGCTCCAAACGGCCTTGGGCCCAATTTATATTTCTGCTTAACATATATACTTATACACAATTTTGATCAAGCGACTGTAGTTCCAAACATACTGGCCTTTGGCCCATTCAGATTTTCATTCATGACAAAATGGCCTTCGGCCCGTTCAGATTTCCATTCATGTCAAAACGGCCTTTAGCCCATTCATTTTTGTCAAAACGGCTTTCGGCCCATTCATTTCTGTCAAAACGGCCTTCAGCCCACTCATTTATGTCGAAACGGCCTTCGGCCCACTCATTCGTGTCAAAACGGCTTTTGGTCCACTCATTTATGTCAAAACGGCCTTCGGCCCACTCATTCGTGTCAAAACGACCTTCTATCCATTCATTTATGTCAAAACGACCTTCGGTCCATTTATTTATATCAAAACGACCTTCGGTCCATTTGCTTATATCATGTCAGACTTGTGTCCACAATCCCAATTAGCAACTCATGAAGCTTATAAGGGAATAAACAATTGGACATTGACAAGTTTTCAAATATCGATATTACTTACAGTGATCGGCTTATGGATTTGCCCTGGAGCTTGACCCTACACATTTCATGAACACAAAAGGGTTACTAACAGTTCAATCTGTTCTTTAATTCACATATTCCTCTTTAGGCTTTACTCTTATCTCTTTAACTCATTTATGATGCTTAACATATGCCTAAGAGTGCTTAAATGTGGAAGAGAATGGAAAACGAAACACAGAACAAACATACAAAATTTCAGGAAACAGGGTCCCCACTCGAGCGTGGGATTCCCCGCTCGAGCGGACCCAACAGGCCTGCAAAAGTGCTGGTTACCTCAAAATTGCGCTCGAGCGTGAGTTAGGGCGCTCGAGCGGAAGGCCTGTCTACAAAAGCTCCCCGCTCGAGCGTGAAATATCCCGCTCAAGCGGACATCCAACTCTGCAAAAAGTGCTAGGAGCACAAAATTTACGCTCGAGTGGCGGTTTCCTCGCTCGAGCGGACACCAAAATTCTGGAAATTCCAGATTGTGTTCTTGAGCTCCCTTCAAACATTCCAACCACATTTCTTGCATAACATGGCTCCAACTTCATCTATATTTGTACTAACATGATATAAATACCAATACACATCATCATAGAGCTCAATTTCATGAATTAACCACATGCATGTCCCAAATTGGCACTAAACTCAACTCCAACATAACAATTTCATACATTCAAGCTCACATCTTCATAAATTGTACATGCATGTGATGAATTAGCCACATTCTCAACTTAGACAACACAAATGGTGATCAAAACATGAGTTTCAACCAAAACTCTACATGAATCATGTATTTCAAGCTTATACATGCTATTTCAAAACAATTTCTTGCATGCATGCATATATCAAGCTTTAATTCCAACAAAACCAACTTAACTCATGCTCCTGGTCACAAACAACCCTTGAACACACAAGATCACACATTAATTTCATGAATTCTAGAATCAATACTTACCTATAAGCCCAATCTATGGCTAATTCTTGACCTAGACTCCAAATCTCCAAGCTTGAGTCACAAATTACACAATTCTCTCCCTCTCTCTTTTTGACAGCCGACTCTCTCTCCCTTTCTCAAAGTTTGATCAGCCAAAATGAATACATAGGAGAGAATGGGAAGTGTAGTGCCCTTACCCAATAATTTCCACTAACTCATAATAATAATAATAAATAATTGGGCACCAATTTACCAATTTAATCACCTTAATCTGGTCCGAATCAATTTTTCAATTAAATTTCACCGTAGGCTCTAAAAATTATGCCAATCACAATGACGTAATCGATTCCGGGTTTTGTGGCCGATAAGGCCCTCAATTTAATTTTCAAAGCAGATTATTCAAACAGATATTCCTACGGTGAACAGATAAAACTTCAAAATCACATATATTCGCATAATGGCACACAAAGTCATATCAAAACATATAATCACATTTGTATTTGGGACCAATTAGCATAATACAGAACAGGGGTGTCACAACCTAGGTATTAGGTTGGGTTGCAAAGTGACTAGTGTCTAGGTGTCAAGTAAGCCTTGACATATGGATCTCATGGAATTGTGCTGCTAAGCAATACCAAATTAAATATTTGATAATTGCTTTTCCGATTTAAGATTATAGTGAATTTTGAATTTGAGTGCTTAATTATGTTTGTGAAACTAAAAATTAGTCTTCATATTTAACTGCTTGCCCTTTATCATGACACTTATTTTAGATTTGCCTAACGGATACAAATTGTACAGCCTTCAGTTACGGAACTACCCAAGAAAGAAAGAACTGCTACAAAACATGGATGAAACTAAAAATTTTGATCGTTTGTTATGATGTAATGTGTATTATGGATGAGTAATTATACCTAGTTCATTTAAAAATCAAGTACAGTACTACATTGCTAGCATTAAAAAAAATGCTGAGTTCTTATGAAGGATTAGTTGTTGCCATTACAATATAGTAATCCCTTCTATTTTGAGCCTTATTTTTTTGGCTCTGAATGGGCTGAGTTGCTGGAAGATGCAGTAGATTGTGAATTCCTGTTTCTGTTACTGATTTAGTTTTCTAGATTGTCACTGATTTAGTTTTCTAGATTGTTACTGCCCTTCTTTTCCTATTTGTGTAATATATTTATGTTGTATGGTTTTTCGCCCGTGCTTTATTTTGTTTGTCTTATCACTGCTATTAGGGTTTTGTTAAAGAAATTGTTTCTTAAATTTGTTGATATGATTCAGGCATTAACAGAAATCTTGTGACTGTAGGTACTACTTAACGGATGGCTTCGCATCTACAGACGTCACCGAAGAGAACAAGAGATGGTATTTTTTTTCGTCCTAATATTATGTATTGTTTTATCATACTACAAAGCGTCTGCTTGGGATTTCCCCTTTTATGTTGTGATGTGCTTTTTCCTTGCAGATGCAATCTGAAGTTGTTGAGGAAATTATTTACGGCTTGGAATCGGGCATTTTGTTTGGGTACTGTCTCTCTATGTGGTTTTACTTGAAAAATTTTTAGCATGTTAATACTTTCTTCCATCTTTTGGGTTAATTGCACTAATAATACTGCTGTTGTCAAAACCTGACATGGATACAATCTTTTAAGAGACGAGGGGAAAAAAAATAAAAAAAGAATTGGAAATTCTAAAAGGAATAATTTGATGATGCAAAATGCTACCACTACACGACACACGAGTAAAACACCCACTGTTATTTGGGAGACATGGTTGGACACCATGACAAGAGCCATGTCATAACTGCTTTCCTAGTAACTGGAAGAAGTCTGAAAGACTCAAAATAGGTCATTATGGGAAAGTAGGATACTGTGTGGACCATTTTTGTTTAGAAGGAGATTTCACATGTATCATAGGGGACTTAGTTTTTCAGTTGGGCTATGTTAAAATTGATGTATGTATTATTGATTGATATCTGATTGATATATGATTCTGTTACACTTGATTGATTATATAGATGTAGGTTAGGTGGTGGTAGGTGAGGAGTAGGTGAGTGTAGTAGGTGAGTGTGTGGTAGGTGATGGTAAGTGTGTGGTAGGTGATGGTAAATTCTAACAATACCCGCAAACTCAAGGAGGATAGAAACTAACCAACTTGAGTTTGAAGAGAGGAACAAAACAAGAAAATACATAAAAATAAAAAAAGGATAAGGAGACACTGTATGTCGTGTAAGACCATTGTGAAGACACTGAATGGTGGTGTCATTAAACGTTGTAGAGGACACTGCTATGCGTGGTGTCATTAACGGTGTAGAGGACCACTGGATGCCACCCCCCCCCCCCCCCCACCCCCCCCCCCCCCCCCCCCCCCCGCTGTCCACGACCCATGCGCCACGCAGTTCTCTCGCGCTCACTCGTCCCCCCTCCGGACCGTCTCGCTACGACCGCCAGTCTCTCATCCGGCCGTCACATGTCGGGCACCCGTTGTACTTAAGCACAGCCTCTCCCGGGGTCTCCGGCTGCCTTGCCTACGACCACCCCCACTCCGAACGTCACACCGTGTCGGGACAGTTCTCACAGCGGCCGTCTTGTCGGACCCCACTACAACCCCCCGCTCAACCGGACATCCATGTCGGGCAGCCAGCTCCTCTAATAGAGTCCTCTCGTCGGACCTGTCTACACCTCCACTCAATGCTCCAGCGCGCACAGCCCCTCTCTACAGCGTTCCTTGCCCTCGGCACCCACTAAAGGGACTAACCGGAGATCCTGTCGGGACAGTCTATAGCCTCTGCTCGCGACCCGTTGAAAACCACCTCATGCACCCTCACGGCCCACCCCCCCCCCCCCCCCCCCCCCCCCCCCCCCCCCCCACACAGAAAAAAAAAGAAAGAAGGGAAAAAGCGAATTCAGTTGTAGGTTTTTCAAAAAAAAAAAAAATTCAAAATTAGTTGGTAACTTTATGAACTTTAAATAAATTTTAAAGTTATAAACTTTTCATGATCTTGTAAATATTTTGAAGATCCCACTTATTTGTAATTTGTCCAAAAATATAACACAATATGAAAAGCACACAGTGAGCTTGTTTGGTTTCAGCTTCTCAGCAGGTGACTGTAGTTTATTTTTTAATTTGAGGAGTCTGTGCTAGACTATTTGAGTGCAAGCTTTTCGCTTATAACTTATTGGACAGAAACAACTTAAATAAGCCTAAAAAATGCTAAATTATTATTTGGATAGTTTGGGAAGGTGATTTTTGATTATCAATCTTTTAAACTAAAAAAGCTCTACCACAGAGGCCACTAGAGGGAAGCATTATTGCTACTGTTGTTTTTTTGAGCTATGTGCCATTATGAAGTTTATACTTTGGATTGAAATGTCATGTTATTGTATATGTCATAATGAATTGGACGATACATTTGTTCAATTTTTCAATAGAGCATGGTCAGGACACATTAGCATTGACCCATATTAGTGTTTGCTTTTGAGCACCTGGATCATGCATATCTTCCATGTTTATATAATAACGTAAGTTAAATAGTTAACATGTCCTAAATTTTGACTCATAAGGCGAAAGAAGGCATACGAAGACATACATGTTTAACTACTACAATGTTTTTGGACAAACAATCTCTCTACATCATGCAGTGTGCTCATTTATCGCATGGCTGTTTTCAAAGGATCTAATCCAGCATGCAAAAGGTGACCAATCGGTCCAAGATAGAATGTGAGGTTTTTATTACGACTTTTGATATGACCCTCCTTGACTGCGACATACACAGAAACTGAAGTGTGACAGAAGGTGATGGTGAGCAGGACTCCAGCTTTTCAATTCATCAAAAGGTGTGTCGCGATCCATAGAATGTGGCGAGTGTCACACTAGCATTAGTTCCCATTTGTGTTTAGCTAAATGGAAGTGTCGACTGA